CAGTATACCTTCAAGTGATGTTATACTGTTTCTTGTGTGGTGTAAAAACCTTACAAAAGTATACTTCCATTTCTTTTGCCTAGACTTTGTGCTGCTCTAGTTATATGTATATGTTATAAACCCTATATTATATTATCATTATTGCTTAATCTTTCATAGAGATTTAAACAATTGAAAAAAATTACATTCTTCCATGCAGTTATTTTTTCTAGTTGTCTTCCTTCCTTTGTGTAGATTCGTCTTTTCATCTGGCATTAGCTTTTTTTTTCTGCCTGAAGGACTTCCTTTTAACTTTTCTCATAATGCAAGTCTTCTGATGATGAATTCATTTATCTTTTTTTTGTCTGAATATGTCTGTTTTCTTATTTTTTCAACAAATTAATGCAGATCCTTCTTATTTTTGAAAGATGTTTTTACTGGATATGACAAACCTAGGTTGACAGGGTTTGTTTGTTTTTGTTTAAAGTGTGTGGAATTTGTTGTGCATATTGAATCTGTGGGTTTGTAATATTTGCCAAATTTGGAGATAGTTCAGATATTACTTCCCTTTTTTTCCTTCCGCTTCCTTCGTGGACTCCATTTGTACCCATATTAGGCTACTCAAAATTGACCTGCAGCTCACTTATGCTGTTTATTTTTCTGTTTTCTCTGTCTTTTTTATTTTGAATATTTCCTATTGCATTGTCTTCAGATATGTTAATCTTTTCTTCTATAATGTGTAATCTCCCATTAATTCATTCAGTGTGTTTTTCTTTTTTTAAAATTATTTTTCAATGACATATAATAATTATACATATTTATAGGTATTGAGTGATATTTCAATGCATGTATATAGTATGTAATGAGCAAATCAGTGTGATTAGCATATCTGTCACCTCAAACATTTATCATTTTTTTAAATGTTGAGAACATTCAAAATTCTCTCTTCTAGCCATTTGAAAATATGTAATAAATTATTGTTAATTATTGTCATTTCAAAGGGCCATTTAGTATACTTTTCATCTCACATATAATCATTTTTATCTCTGGAAGTTTGATTTGCATCTTTTTTATCCTCTATGTTTCTACATTGCTTTTTGGAGGACTGTGGTTAGAGTGACTTTTTAATGTTTTTATTTCTAATTCTAACATGTATCAGTTCAGATTTGATTTCACTTGATGTTTTCCTCATGTTTTATGTGTTCTCACTTCCTTGCATGCCTGATAATTTTTGATTGGATGCCATACATTGTGAATTTTACCTCATTTGTGTGTTTGATATTTCTTATTCTTAGAATAAGGACCACAGAACTTTGCTTTGCAGTCCTTTTTGGTCTTGCTATTAAAATTTGTTAGGGGAGCAGGAGCAGTGCTCAGTCCAGTTTATTTCCCATTTTAGAGTCTTCTCATTCTCTTCCCAATGCCCTATAAATTATTAGGCTTTCCAGTCTGAATCAGTGGGAACAGGACCTATTTCTGGCCCTGTATGAGTGCTGGACACTATTTCCTCTAACCCTTTGAGTTGTTTTCTTTCCCCAGCTTTTCATAGTGTCCTCACATGTGTGGCTGTTACCCAGCTCAGTACTCAAGGAGGACTCTGCAAATTTCTCAAGTTTTCTCTCTGTTGCTCTCTCCTCTCTGGTACTCTTCCCTGAGAATTCTAGCCACCTCTTATCCCAATGTCTCAGATTCATGTGTTTCACTCAGAGTCCACTAGGTTCTGCTTGTGTTTCCCTTCTCTGTGTTTACTCTGCAAATGCTCTCAAGATAGTAATTTGGGATAATTGTTGGACATAGCTCATTTGCTTTCCATTTTTCAGTGATGACTCTCCTTTATTGCCTGATGTGCCATGTCTTGGAGACTGTTGTTTCATATATTCTGTTTGTTTTCTTGGTTGTTTCAGACTGGGTATAAACTCAGTCGTTGTTATTCTATCTTGGCTGGAAATAGATATTAAGGCTAATCTAGTCTTCATGTCCTTAGTTCATGAATCCCAAACTCTTCAGTGCAGCCTGAAATAGAGCTTTCCCTCTGAACTTGCTCATCCTCATTTTATTTTGTACATATTAACTGTTTTTGCCTTTAGAATGCTTTCTTAATCTAAAAGTATTGAATTAAATATAGTAGGACATAATTCATCTTCCATGACATCTGATTTTGAAGTTCTGATTCTGGGTTTCAGTCTATGTGGGAATTAAAAGATGGAAGTGTGTTATGACACCTTTTGAATTCGTTTAAAATCTAAGTGGTTTAGAAATGAAGCCAATATTTTAGCAGTATCTAATCTTTCAGCTACAGATATGTCTGGTGAAAATGCTTTTTTAATTACTTAGTCTGCTTGGCCCTTCCTAAACTGAACATTTAGCTTGTATTTGTCTTATTCATACTTATTCATACAAGGTTGTACCTTGTCCATGAAATTACTAGACTCGTATTTAGATAATGTGCTTTATTATAGTTGAAAACGTAGCAGCCAGAATAATTTGAAGAGTTACATTTTCTATATAAGATCTTTGTTCTATTTAGTATGGATTCCTTTTTTTTTCCAACTTTAGAAAACAAACCAGAAATGCCAGTATTCCTACTCTAAGGACTTTTAAAAATGTAAATGCAGTAGGATCTTTTGATTTGTTCTGTTTGAAAGAAAAGATTATGTTCTACCAATGCAGCTGTTCTCTGATTTTTTCATTAGAATGAAGGTGGGAGTAGAATTTTTCTCTGTACGTTTATTTTCCTAGAAGTAACTTTCAGGCTACATACAAAGTTAGCTTTATATTCTGTCCTTGTAGTCTATTATAGCAAGGTGATGACTGATTTTTATAATGAAAGAAACCACCAAAATAACAAAAAGTATTAAAGCTAATAATCAAAGAGATGACCCTGAGACACTGAAAGATATAAAACTGCTTTCTCAATCACCAAGAAGATTAAATTTTAACTCGTGGTTTTGCTAAAGGAGAGCAGTATAATATGGAAGGGGCACTGGAATGAATCAAAAGGCTTAGGTTATAGTGTTACTAGCATTTCCACTAAATACTATGTGACCCTGAGAAAGTCTTGCAGTTTTGAACTTTAATATCCTCATCTGTCCTAACTAAATAAACTAATATTTCATGAGTAATTATGTTGCGTCAGGTACATTGCTGGTCAGCTTACTTATTGTACTTTAATTTACCTATTAACCTTAGAGAATAAATAGAACCTACATTTTGCAAATGAGAAGCCTAAGGTTCTAAAATATTAACTATCATTCAAAATGCCAAGCAATAAATTATCAGACAACAATTTCACTCTAAAGCCATGAATTTTCTTCTGTTTCTAAAAAGCACTTTAATATTTTTAAACCATGAATGATAGTATATGCTAACATAGTAAATTTCCAAATTGCCTTAGGTCTGACTTTATTATTTTTATTACTATCAGTTTTCTTATTTGCAGTGCATTCTAATTACTGAAATTTTATCTGTTTGTCAGGGTCTGGACATTAGTGATACACAAGTGGCTACTCTTTAGCAATGTCTTTTTTCTTTGAGATCCTAAAACACTTATTATTTAATACCCATTTAATAGTTATATATTTGCGAACTCTTTAGTAGCTTAATATTTGGAAGTTGGGATAGCTCTTGAATTGTTTCTGCATGTTCATCTATTACTGCTACACTTAGAAAACAAGCTCCTGAGGAAGCTTCTCCTTCTATTGACGTTTAGCATAGCATTGTGCATACAGTATGTGTAACTTAATACATAATTATGTTAATATATTCTGTAAACTGGACTATTTTAATCAACATTCTGAGTTATTAACTTCTGGTGAACTATTATATATAAGATATTTTAAAGTTTTAAAAATTTCTGTGACTTTATGTGGTAAGAGTAGGTAGGTTTGTTAGGTTTATAAGAGAAATGCTTTACGTCATCTTTTTTTTTTTGGAGACACAGTCTCTCTGTCACCCAGGCTGGGATGCAGTGGCGTAATCTTGGCTCACTGCAACCTCCGTCTTCCAGGTTCAGACAATTCTTGTGTCCCAGCCTCCTGAGTAGCTAGGATTACAGGTGTGTGCCACTGCACCAAGATAATTTTTTTTTTTTTTAAATGGAGTCTCACTCTATCGCCTAGGCTGGAGTGCAGTGGCATAATGTCGGCTCACTGCAGCCTCTGCCTCCTGGATTCAAGCAATTCTTTTGCCTCAGCTTCACAAGTAGCTGGGACTGCAGGCACCCACCACCACGCTGGGCTTATGTTTGTATATTTAGTAGAGACAGGGTTTCACTATGTTGGTCAGGCTGGTCTCAAACTCCTGACTTTGTGATCTGCATGCCTCCCAAAGTGCTAGGAGTGTGAGCCACTGTGCCCGGCCAATTTTTGTATTTTTAGTGGAGACGGGGTTTTGCCATGTTGGCCAGGCTGGTCTCAAACTCTTGGCCTCCAGTGATTCATCTGCATTGTGCTCCCAAAGCGCTGGGATTACAGGTGTGACCCACCACACCTGGCTGAGAAATGCTTTTCAGAAAAACTTTTTAAAATACCATAGTGTTTTGAAATGACTCAACTCAACATTGGTTGATAGAAGTTAGCATGTAGACTTACTTTGTTTGGTAGGGAGACCAATTTCTTTGCCCCATTCCTCGGTTTTTTAAGAGTTCCAGAAGCTCTTGCTTTCTCTTTTTTCCCCACAATTAAGGATATAAAAAGAAAATTTAAGTAATATTTAAGATATCTGGGTGATCTTCTACGATTATTACTACGACTACTACTAACTCATATGTTGGTTAACCTTTCTAAGTGTTAATTTTCTTGTTCATAAAAAACTGAGTTCAATTATGTGATCTTCAAAGACACATTTCAGAATTTTTAAAGCCTACAAGTTTGAGGTAAATTAGGCTTCAGAATTGAAAAGTAGCATTTGATTTTTAAATGCACTTCAAGATATTAGTTTTATGTTACTTGGGTTTTTCTTTTAAAATGTTTTGCAGTTTTATGTTCTGCTTTTATGGTTAATTTTTCTTTCTAACTTATCAGTACTTCCTCGCGTGTTGCTAAAGGAGGAGTCGACCACACCAAAATGAGTCTACATGGTGCTAGTGGAGGACATGAAAGATCAAGAGATAGACGAAGGTCAAGTGACAGATCACGAGATTCATCTCATGAAAGAACAGAGTCTCAACTCACTCCTTGTATTAGAAATGTGACTTCTCCAACACGACAGCACCATGTTGGTATGTAAAATCAACTAATCTTCCTGACAGTCCTTAAAAACATGCATTTACCTTTTTAAAGGAGTAGTTACACTGAATTGTGCCTAACACTGCAGAGTAAAATTAACTTCTTCTATTTAGTTGTTTCTGTTTTAGTTGAGCTTGGTTCTTGCTGTGAAAAAGCAGCTTGTTCGAATGCAAAGTGAAGGTGAAATTTTTAACATCTGGTACAGTCTTATAAAAATAAATAACTTGAAAAGCCTTTGAAACTGTGATATCTAGATTTTTAGAGTTTTGAAGTTAATATTTGGCTTATGAAATAGATAGCAATAGTTTCTTTTAAAATAGTTTTTAGTAAATTATTGGTAGAAATTTCATTATTATCATGCTGACAAAGGATATGAAAGGTAGAAAAACCATCATGTTATTTATTCTGATTTTTGACAATATACCAAATTTAATAATAAAAATATATGAAAAGTGTTATGTCTGCCGGGCGCGGTGGCTCAAGCCTGTAATCCCAGCAATTTGGGAGGCCGAGGCGGGTGGATCACGAGGTCAAGAGATCGAGACCATCCTGGTCAACATGGTGAAATCCCGTCTCTACTAAAAATACACAAAATTAGCTGGGCATGGTGGCGCATGCCTGTAATCCCAGCCACTCAGGAGGCTGAGGCAGGAGAATTGCCTGAACCCAGGGGGCGGAGGTTGTGGTGAGCCGAGATCGTGCCATTGCACTCCAGCCTGGGTAACAAGAGCGAAACTCCGTCTCAAAAAAAAAAAAAAAAAAGAAAAGAAAAGAAAAGTATAATGTGTTTTACTTTCTTAGTAACTAGCTCAGGTCTTTCCCCTTCTTCCTAATCATTACTGTAAATGAACATTATTACCCCGGGTGAACACATGGTATGACTATAAAACAACAGCTGAAGAAGAGGTGCCTTAGCATGTGAGCTTACTGATTTTTATTTTCCCCTGCAGAAGGGACAAATTAAAACTTTGACTTACTATATGCAGCAGTAGTTTCTGATAATCTGTTGTAAATAAAAATCATTAATATTAGGGTCTAATTATGAGAGAAGTTGTCAGTGTTTCAGTTGATCCTGGAAGTCAGACTAGTACTTATAAGCCAGACATCAACAAAAGTATAAATTAGAGTTGACAGTTTGTTACATGCAAAATTCAGTGTCTGGGAGTAGAATAGCAGGATATAATAAATTATTTTATTAATAATTGCTTTACAAGTTTTACTTTGGGGATGCTGGCAGTATTGTAGAAACAGGCAATAAAAGGGAGGTGTCAGAGTATCTCTGGAGATGTGTCAAACCTAATTATATAATCAATAATGCTGTACAGAGTGTTCTGAGCAGCCTGAGTCATAGAGGAATTTGGCAAAAGCTGATGAAACTGATGAGATGGAGGTACATTTTTAGGTCACCTTTAAAGTTTAGTGATCTAGTCTCTAAATGAAAAATCACAAAATCTTAGTTTTTGTTTCTCTTTTGTAGATTATTGGAACATCTTAAGAAAATTTTCTGAATTTTAACAATGTTTTCTACCTGTGAAAATTACAGACTATAATTATAGTTCATAAAATTTGCAGCAGTGCTTTATTCAGCAAACATGAGAATGAGAAGAAAACAGTGTATCATGAGCTACTAAAGCTGCTTTATTTGGTAGACATAAAAATCATTAAAAAAATAAATACTCTTACTGTCCTTAGTGAATTTCTTTTTTTTTTTGGTGGGGGAACCTTTTTTTTTTTTTTTGAGATAAATTGCTGGTTTTAGAATGCCCTTATTACCAGTGAGCTTCTAAAGATTGTACTTTGTGTTCTCAGAGTGGCATTATCCCTTTTAGTAATTAGGACAGTTTAAATTGGTATTCTTATTAATCTTTTACTGTAATAACTTTCAAAGCATATTTATTTGACTTGTGAGAATATTCACTTCCTTAGGTTTCTGTTTTTAAGTGGAGTAATAAAAGCTTCCTTAGTTCTGATGTTAGTTTGCGTTAGCATTAGTCAGCTATACATCTTTTTAAAAAGTCTGCAAATAAAGATTTTAGAAAACATTTTAATGTTTTGGGTTTTATTCCTAGGAACTAAATGAATGTTTATGGTGTTCTGTTAACATGTTATTTGAAATTAAAAAGTGGAAATGCTGTGACTTAAAAAAACTTTCCTAAATCAAACATTTAAAAAGATATATGTACATCTTGAATTTTTAAAAGAAAATTTGCTTAACTTTGTTTAACATCTTTATTTCAGAACGAGAAAAAGATCATAGTTCCTCTCGTCCAAGCAGTCCACGACCTCAAAAAGCATCCCCAAATGGTTCCATTAGCAGTACTGGGAACAGCAGCAGAAACAGTAGTCAGTCAAGTTCAGATGGTAGTTGTAAGACATCTGGGGAGATGGTGTTTGTATATGAAAATGCAAAAGAAGGAGCTCGGAATATAAGAACGTCAGAACGAGTGACACTAATAGTGGATAACACTAGATTTGTTGTAGACCCATCCATTTTTACTGCACAGCCAAATACAATGTTGGGCAGGTTTGTATTGTTGCAGTTATGTGCATTACTACTTATAAGGTGCTTTTATCGCCATTATTTTTTCATTTAAGGTTTACAGTAATTCTCTGTTGAAATGTAACATTTGTTTTACAGATGAAAGAACTGACCTTTGGAGGCTAAATTACGTGTCCCAAGTTAATACAGCTAGAAAGTGATAGAATAAGAGCTTGAACTTGGTTTTATTTCTACTGTAATGCCAGTAGAAATAGCAAATATATTAGTTATTGAAGTCAGGATACTAAAATATCTTTATAGATTGACACTATAAATGGAATCTAACCAGGTGAATTTAGCAATGATAACATATTTCCTGTACTTGGGTTCTCATTCAGTCACAAAATATAAACAATCAGCATTGTTTGAAGGGGGAAATATCCCCAACAGGTTGTTTAGCTTTGAAGTCAACATGAATTGTCAGTTTGATGTAGATACTTAAAAAAAAAAAAAAAAGTGGGGAGGATGTCAACAAATAGCAAAATGAAGGAGATAGCTGTCATCTTCTGATTTGTGCTGGTCCACAAATCAGAGTAATAGATCAATTTAAAGTTTGCAGTTATGGGAACCACAGTCTAAGAAGGATATAGACAATATAGACTTGCTTTTTCAACATGTCCAAACTGTATACCTTTTTTTTTTTTTGAGACGGAGTTTCGCTCTTGTTGCCCAGACTGGAGTGCAATGGCAAGATCAGCTCACCACAACCTCCGCCTTCCGGGTTCAAGCAATTCTTCTGCCTGAGCCTCCGGAGTAGCTGGGATTACAGGCATGTGCCACCATGCCCAGCTAATTTTTGTATCTTTAGTAGAGACAGGGTTTCTCCATGTTAGTCAGGCTGGTCTCAAACTCCTGACCTCAGATAATCCACCCGCCTCAGCCTCCCGACTGTATACCTTTTAATTGTAAAATCAGTATCTTTGTTCACACTAATATCAAATCAAAGGGCATGTGCATGAAATAGAAGTTTACATGAGATAAAATCTTGTCATTTTCTAGATTGCATATGCGATGTGTGTATGTGTGTGTGATTTGCCACTGTCTCATAATACAGAATAAATGCTGCCATTGTGATTTTATATACATTTTTAAATAACTAAATGTTTTCCTTCAAGGTTGACGCTATGCTTTAACCCTTGGAAAAAAATCTTTGAACTATAGGCTTTTTTGTATTTTTAGTATTATAGGGAGGATAGTCGACAGAAGTTATCAGGAATGTTACTTGACACTGTTAATAATACTTTATATTTTTACATGAGATATATAGAAACAGTAAAAAAAAATAAGTAGATATTTGACATTTTGGTTGTTAGGTTATGTTTTCTTTAAAAAGAAAAGTTTTTAAAGTATTCATATTGATGTGAAAAGAATAGCTTTCCCCTTTTGTAAAAAGTTGAAATGATGACATTTGGTTCCTGAAAGACTAACTTCTTTTTCTTCTCTTTCAATTAGCAAAGCCTTATTTTTATGTCAGTTGACTAAAGTGTGTCTTTGGGGATGAAAATTAATATTCATGGGAACTGTAAAAAGCAGTTGACATTCTTTTGGAAACTTTGACATAAAAAAGCTTTGTTGTTCATAGTTTCATGTATTACAACAAAAAGAATCTATTTGAATTAGGAAACTATTGAATAGAATACCTAGTTCAACCATATTTACTTTGAGAATAATAGTACCATAGGATTTAGAGGTTCATCTTTCTTTAATTATGATTTTTAAATTTTCTGGAGAGTACTAGAGTACATTTTTTATTGTTAAGGACATGTTTTGCAAATTGCCTCTTTTCTAAACAGCTGCTGTTAAAGGGCCAACACCATGACTTGAAAAAAAATTAAAGTCATTTGTATTTTTCTTATGTAAAAATTAAGAGCTTTTTAATTTATTTTTTTAAACTTGCCATTATGCTATTTCTTCATTGCCGTCTACCCCACCATTTGATTGCTTGTTTTTCAGTTATAGGATGCAAGTCTAAGAATTTTGAGTAGGATTTGTTACATTTATAGTTAAGATTGTTAAATGTAAAACAACCTTACTTGTCCTGTATCATCTTACTTTGTCTCAGTTTAGTTTGCTCTTTGTGCTGCATTATGGCATTAACTGTACAATGAAAACAGCAGTTATAAGGAAAAAGTACAGTTAACATAGTTTCCCTTTTTTTTTCTTCCTGGTAAAATTGGTATTAAAAAGTCACCTTTTCCCTTAGATTAATTGGTTCATGGTGTTTTCTGAGGAGAAGGGGTAGGAAAGCTCTTTAGTTTCTGAATTTTGTCATTTATTTTATTGTTGCTTGCAGGAAATCTATACTAGTGTTCCTTACTATCAAAAAGAAAATGTTTTTAATATTCCTTCATTTATGATGTTTACCAGAATAAATTAATGATAAAAGTTCTTGAACTAATTTAATGATGTGTAATTCCTTTTTACTTTTGTATATGAAATCTATTTTCCCTTTTGAAGGAAGTATCCTATTGAAGTATTTCTCAATTATTTACTCTCATAGGATGTTTGGATCTGGCCGAGAACATAACTTTACACGACCCAATGAGAAAGGAGAGTATGAGGTGGCAGAGGGAATTGGTTCTACTGTGTTTAGAGCTATTCTGGTGAGTGGTTCTTATGAGTATTGACTTAATTGTAAGACCCCTTCTTGGTGGGTACTTGGATTAGAAGCAGAATTCTATTTGAATTTGTCTTTGGAGTTATTCCAGGATACTGTTTTTCCTGAAATACCATTTAATTCATCTTTATTTTATTTTAATTTTTATTTTGCAACAGGGTCTTACTCTTTCACCCAAGCTGGATGGAGTGCAGTGGCATGATCATAACTCACTGCAGCCTCGACCTCTCGGGCTCAAGCAATCCTCCTGCCATAGAATCCTGAGTAGCTGGAACTACAGGCATGCGCCACTATGCCTGGCCAATTTTTTTTGTTTTTGTTTTTTATGGAGACGAGGTCTCACAATGTTTCCTAGGCTGATCTTGAACTCCAGGGCTCAAGCCATCCTTCTACCTTGGCCTTCCAGAGTGCTGGGATTACAGGCATTGAGCCAACGTGCTGTGCTCTCATCTTTATTTTAGTACATACAGATAATGTGATACAAGCAAATAAATTTGATGACCTTCAGGATGATAGGATAAGAGATATTAAACTCTTAGGTCTGCATACACAGTTCTTTCAGGTATTTAGTAACATATCTGAAGTCATATTTACTTCTCTTTAATTCTCTTAAATACAGTATTTCGATCATTTTTACTATCTGAGTGAATATGACTGATTCTATTATTTTATTGCATATAACTAGCAATGTGGAAACTTAGAAACATCTAAAAGTCATCTTCAAAATGTATTTATTAACATCTTTATTTTTTTGTTGGTTTTGGGCGTTTTTTCTTGAGACAGAGTCTTCACTCTGTTGCCCAGGCTGGAGTGCAATAGTGCGATCACTGTTAACTACAACCTCAACCTTCTGAGTTTAAGTGATCTTCCCATCTTGGCCTCCCTAGTAGCTGGGATTATAGGCACGTGCCACCACGCCTAGCTAATTTTTTGTATTTTTAGTAGAGATGAGGTTTCACCATGTTGCCCAGGCTGGTCTTGAACTACTGACCTCAAGCAGTCCCTCATGCCTCAGCCTTCCAGAGTGCTGGAATTACAGGTGTGAGCCAGTGCCCAGCCGCCATCTTTGTTTTAAAACTGGTGTGGTTTTTTTTTTGTTTTTTTTTTTTGAGATTTTAAGCTTCTTTTTTTTTTGAAAATATTTTAATTTATCATACAGAGTCTCTACTTGTAATTTAAATTCAGTGATTTTGATCATAAGGCCGGGTGTGGTGGTTCATGCCTATAATCCCAGCACGTTAGGAGACTGAAGCAGGTGGATGGTTTGAGTCCAGGAGTTCGAGACCAACCTGGGCAATATGGCAAAACCCCAACTCTACCAAAAGAATATATCCAAAAATTAGCTGGGTGGAATGCCTGTAGTTCCAGGTACTTGGGAGACTGAGGCAGGAAGATCTCTTGAGCCAGGAGGGAAAGGTTGTAGTGAGCAGAGATCACACCATTGCACTCCAGCGACAGAGTCAGACCCTGTCTGGAAGAAAAAAAAAAAGGTTTGATTTATACTTTCTGACAGTTTGTGCTACAGTCTGAAAATACAATTTTCTTAAATAGTTTGGGGGAGGGAAGGATTCTGTGATGGAAGACAGTTAGAGAAAGTCATTGATCTTGATCAGGTGAGTATTCATATAAGTACCAGAAGATGTTTCACTTCTATTGATGCAGCAACCTTAGAAATTGTCTTACTGGTTACTTAGGTTCTGAACCTCAGGAAGCTTGAGACCTTTTTTTTTTTTTTTTTTTTTTTTTTTTTGCTGTCTTTCTTTCTTTCTTTCTTTCTTTCTTTCTTTCCTTTCTTTTTTTCTTTTTGCTGTCTTTCTTTTTTTTTTTTTTCTTCCTCAGGCTGGAGTGCGGTGGTACGATCTCGGCTCACTGCAACCTCTGCCTCCCAAGCTCAAGTGATGCTCCTGCCTCAGCCTTCTGAGTAGCTGGGATTCCAGGCATGCGCCACCATGTCTGACTAATTTTTGCATTTTTAGTAGAGACAGAGTTTCACCATGTTGGCCAGGATGGACTTGAACTCCTGACTTTAGGTGATCTGTCTGCCTTGGCCTCCCAAAGTTCTGAGATTACAGGCATGAGCCATGGTGCCTGGCTGAGCCAGGTCTTAATTTTGGGGAAAAGTGCTTTTCTAAGCTTTCCATATTTCCTCTCATGGAATTGAAAATAATTTTTATCACTCATCTGTGCAGTAACGTATCTGTAATTCTGGGGTCGTCCTTTAACCTGTTAAGTAAATTTTGGAAATAATTAGTATTGCTTGTCATAGTATGGAATCACCAAATGATATATTAGAAGAAGAATATCTAATGGTATGTCTTATTTTACATATTTTAATACTTGAATATGAGTATAATTCTGTATTAAAAACCTCAAATTTTATTAAATTATCTCGGTAATATTTAAGGTAATGTATCATTCAGTTTCCTTACTGTTTTTAAAAATATTGAACACTTTATGAGCATTTTATAGAACTATAACTTGTAGAAGGAAAATACATATGCATTGATATGTTATCATAAGAGAAGATATTAGTTAGGTAATGGGGAGCCCTGTGTTCTAATCTTACCTTTGCTTTTAAGTAATTGTATAACACGTTAAGTCAGTGGATTCATTTAGACCTGAATTTCCTTATAGGTCAAATGAAAAAGTAGGTGAACTGAAGTCTCATCTAAGTTTAAACTTCCACAACTCAGAGATGTCAGAGTTTTCTACTGTTTCTGAAAATGTTACCAGTCCAACCTTAATAATAAGTTTTGGCTACCTTGTGCTCTAGATATTTTATGCTTTCTTTTCTTTTTTTCCCCAGGATTACTATAAAACAGGAATAATCCGTTGTCCTGATGGCATATCTATTCCTGAACTGAGAGAAGCATGTGACTATCTTTGTATCTCTTTTGAATATAGTACTATTAAATGTAGAGATCTCAGTAAGTATGATGTTTTGTGTGTGGGTGGTTTGTAGAATTAGAATATATTGAACAAAAAGCCTGAAATTGGTGTTTACTTAGTTAGACTTACAGTATTTAATTGAATTATAAAGCATTCTAGTACCACAAAGATTATTAATGAAAGTTTGCAGAGATCTTAATAATCTCCTTGTGCAATTTTCCAAATGTTTTTTCAATTTTAATAATTTTCTTTTTTGACAAACCCTCCAAGATTTCCTCTTAGACTGTTTTCTATATTATTTATTTGTTACCAGTTTTATCTCCTAGATTTGGATACTTGGCTTTGATCAAGTATGGTCATTTGGCTTCATTTCTTTGATCACATCATCCAAATATTTATAATTTTTTGTATTACCACATATGATAATATTCTGAGCACTATGGAAAACACAAATCTCAAAAACAATACCTATCATTAAAGATCCTAGGTTGAATGTCTAGCCCTCATTTACACATAGGGCTTGATCCAGGAACTTGAAATATAGTCTCAAAATACTGTCTAGAACTTTGTAATCTCATCTCTTTTATTGGTATTCTTCTCTCACCACTTCTTTAGCACCCCTACTCCCTCTGATACGCTGACTCTTAGAAAAGACGTGATTATGTGCAAAATAGTAAAAATAGTTTATGATGTATCAAATGTTGACCTAGATACTTAAGTATCTCCAAGTGACTCCAGCACTTAAGTGGCTGGAGAAGTTCAAAGGAAGGGGAAGTCATTGTGGGCTAGAGAACTATGGAAGAGTTCAGTGGAAGTAGGTAGTAAAGAATGAACTGAATGATTCAGAAAGAGTAGAGAGTATTGTTTTTGGGAATTATATGTATCTTCCATAGTGCCCAGGATATCATCCTACGTGGTAATACAAAAAATTCTAAGACCTGAGGTTTTTGGAGTAAAGATGTAGTAGGTATACTTTGGAAATATAGTAGATCCAGTAGATTGTTGGACAGCCAGAACATACAACTGTACTTTTGAACAAAGTTGCTTGGTTGTTTGCTTTTGAGACAGAGTCTCTCTCTGTCACCCAGGATGGAGTACAGTGGCTCAATCTTGGCTCACTGCAACCTCAACCTCCTGGGTTCAAGCAGGTCTCCTGCCTCAGCCTTCCCAGTAGCTGTGGTTACAGGCACCCTCCAGTTTACCTGGCTAATTTTTTTGCATTTTTAGTAGAGACAGGCTTTCACCACGTTGGCCAGGTTGGTCTCAAACTCCTGACCTCAGATGATGCATCCATCTTGGTCTCCCAAAGTGTTGGGATTACAGGTGTGAGCACCGTGCCAGGCCAAAGTTGCTGTTTTTTCACATCTTAAAAAAATGTTTTTAGTTGAAACCATGAGCATTGTAGATCCCTGATTTCAAGTTTTGTGTCTTAATTCATAGGACTATTTAAATTAATCTTTATATGATTTGATGTTGAATTTTGGTGACTTACAGAGATCAAAAAATAATTTTTTTTACAGATGTTATGAATCTCTTAGTTCTGCAATCTTTTGTTGTGCATAGTTTTACCTTGTCATTACTACTAAGTATCTTTTATTATGGATTAAAAGTAAGGTGATATGTGTAATGTGATTATCCTAGACTTTTAGCTTTTCTGTAATATTTATAGTTGTTTCTAGATTACTTGTAATGTATGTTACTAAAAATTAAGAGATTCTCAAAGACGTTTTAAAAAAAACTATATAGAATTTGAAGAGATGGAAGTGGTCTTATAAAAATGGAAGTAGCGTTGAGTCCAAAAGGAAATTCTTTTTCTTGCAAATATGTGCCGTTGCTGAATATTTGGAATGGCACGTTGCACTAAAATATCTGGGCTTATATCTTAATTTAAGAAGAAATTATACAATTTGCTTGCATGTTCTCTCTCTTTGGTTCATGCATACTTTTTCAGTTTGTGGCATTAAACTAATCTGGACTTGAGGACAGAGACTATATCTTTTTGACTTTGTTGAATTAATAAATTATTGTATTCCCTTGTGCATTTTTAGGACCCTCTTCCACTGGCTGTCTCCTTTGGAACCATCAGTCTTTCCCTCTCTTCATATATTAATCCTCAGGCTCAAACATACTCAAATATGACTTATGTCTATTCTAGACATTAAAAAACATTCTCATTAAAAAAAACTTGTGACAATTTGACTTCCTCCTTTCCTAATCGAATACCCCTTATTTCTTTTTCTTGCCTAATTGCTCTAGCTCGAACTTCCAATACGATGTTGAATAGGAGTGGGGAGATAGGGCATTCTTGTCTATTGCCAGTTTTCAGAAGGAATGCTTCCAGTTTTTGCCCATTCAGTATGATATTGGCTGTTGGTTTGTCATAAATAGCTCTTATTATTTTGAGATATGTTCCATCAATGCCTAGTTTATTGAGGGTTTTTAGCATAAAGCGCTGTCGAATTTTGTCAAAGGCCTTCTCAGCATCAATTGAGATAATCATGTGGTTTTTGTCTTTGGTTCTGTTTATGTGGTGAATTACTTTTATAGATTTGCGTATGTTGAACCAGCCTTGCATCCCCGGGATGAAGCCTACTTGATCGTGATGGATAAGCTTTTTGATGTGCTTTTGTATTCGGTTTGCTGGTATTTTATTGAAGATTTTTGCATCAATGTTCATCATGGATATTGGCCTGAAATTTTCCTTTTTAGTTGTGGCTCTGCCGGGTTTTGGTATCAGGATGATGTTGGTGTCATAAAATGAGTTAGGGAGGATTCCCTCTTTTTGTATTGTTTGGAATAGTTTTGAAAGGATTGGTACCAGCTCCTCTTTGTACATCTGGTAGAATTTGGCTGTGAACCCGTCTGGTTCTGGACTTTTTTTGATTGATGGGCTATTTATTGCTGCCTCAACTTCAGACCCTGTTATTGGTTTATTAAGGGATTCACCTTCTTCCTGGTTTAGTCTTGGGAGGGTGTAAGTGTCCAGGAGTTTATCCATTTCTTCTAGATTTACTAGTTTATGTGCATAGAGGTGTTTGTAGTAATCTCTGATGGTAGTTTGTATTTCGGTGGAATCGATGGTGAATATTCCCTTTATCATTTTATATTACATCTGTTCAATTCTTCTCCCTTTTCTTTTTTATTAGTCTGGTTAGTGGTCTATCTATTTTGTTGATCTTTTCAAAAAACCAGCTCCTGGGTTGGTTGATCTTTTTTGAAGGGTTTTTATGTGTCTCTGTCTCCTTCAGAGACAGTTCTGCTCTGATCTTAGTTGTTTCTTGTCTTTTGCTAGCTTTTGAATTTATTTGATCTTGTTCCTCTAGTTCTTTTAATTGTGACTACAAGATGTCGATTTTAGATTTTTCCTCGCTTCTCATGTGAGCATTTAGTGCTATAAATTTCCCTCTAGACACTGCTTTAAATGCATCCCAGAGATTCTGGTACTTTGTGTCTTCGTTCTCATTGGTTTCGAAGAACATCTTTATTTCTGCCTTCATTTCATTATTTATCCAGTAGTCATTAAGGAGCAGGTTGTTCAGTTTCCATGTAGTTGTGTAGTTTTGAGTGAGTTTCTTAATTCTGAGTTCTAATTTGATTGCACTGTGGTCTGAGAGACTGTTTGTTATGATTTCCATTCTTGTGCATTTGTTACTTCCAATTATGTGATTAATTTTAGAGTAAGTGTGATGTGGTGCTGAGAAGAATGTATATTCTGTGGATTTGGGGTGGAGAGTTCTGTAGATGTCTATTAAGTTTCCTTTGTCCAGATCTGAGTTCAAGTCCTGGATATCCTTGTTAATTTTCTGTCTCATTGATCTAATATTGACAGTGGAGTGTTAAAAGTCTCCCACTATTATTTTGTGGGAGTCTAAGTCTCTTTGTAGTTCAGTAAGAACTTGCTTTATAATTGTGTATTTAGAAGACCCCATCATCTCTGCACAAAATATCTTTAAGATTTATAAGCAACTTCAGCAAAGTCTCAGGATAAAAAACCAATGTGCAAAAATCACAAATATTCCTATGCACCAGTAACAGACAAACAGATAGCCAAATCATGAGTAAACTCCCATTCACAATTGCTACAAAGAGAATTAAATATCTAGGAATACAACTAACAATGGACGTGAAGGCCCTCTTCAAGGAGAACTACAAACCACTGCTCAAGGAAATAAGAGAGGACACAAACAGATGGAAAAACATTCCATGCTCATGGTTAGGAAAAAATCAATATCATGAAATTACTTTTGGCCATACTGCCCAAAGTAATTTATAGATTCAGTGCTATCCCCATCAGGCCACCCTTGACCTTCTTCACAGAACTGGAAAAAACCACCTTAAGCTTCATATGGAGCCGAAAAAGAGCCAGAATAGTCAAGACAGTCCTAAGCAAAAAGAACTAAGCTGGAGGCATCATGCTACCTGACTTCAAACTATACTACAAGGATACAGTAATCAAAACAGCATGGTACTGGTACCAAAACAGAGATATAGACCAATGGAACAGCACAGAGGCCTTAGAAGTAATGCCACACATCTACAACCATCTGATCTTTGACAAACCTGACAAAAACAAGCAATGGAGAAAGGATTCTGGGTTTAATAAATGATGTTGGGAAAACTGGCTACCCATGTGAAGAAAGCTGAAACTTCCTTACACCTTATACAAAAATTAGCTCCAGAAGGAGTAAAGATTTAAACATCATAAAAACCCTAGAAGAAAACCTAGGCAATACCATTCAGTACCTAGGCATAGGCAAGGACTTAATGACTAAAACACCAAAAGCAATGGCAACAAAAGCCAAAATAGACAAATGAGATCTAATTAAACTTAAGAGTTTCTGCACAGCAAAAGAAGCAGTCATTAGAACTGGCACCCAACAAAATGGGAGGAAATTTTTGTAAGCTACCCATCTGACAAAGGGCTAATATCTGGAATCTACCAAGAACTTAAACAAATTTACAAGAAAAAAAGCAAACCACCCATCAAGAAGTGGGCAAAGGATATGAACAGACACTTCTCAAAAGAAGACATTTATGT